TTCCAGGACAGCCTCCAAAGCCACAGAGAAACCCTGTCTCGAGGAAAAACAAAAAGTTCTGGGGTGACAAGGGCAAATATAATGCCCAACCTCTTCTGTCTCTGTCTCTCTGTCTCTGTCTCTGTCTCTCTCTCTCCATTTTTCAAGACAGGGTTTATCTGGATGATCCTTGCTCTGTAAACCAGGCTGGCCTCGAATTCAAAGAGATCCGCCTGCCTCTGCTTCTGCCTCCTGAGTGATAAGATTAAAAGCATGCACCATGAAACCCGCCTTTAACACACATTTTTGCCACGTAGATGTAGCCTTGGGTTGGAAATAACTTTGCAGCCCAGGCTGACCTGAAATTTCCAGCATCAGCTTCCTGAGTAAGGAGACGACACACATCTGCCTCCACACCCGACCCACTGTCAGAAACTAATAACAAACACTAGTTGTGTGGTCGGAGCTCTAGTGTCAGGCTATCCCCAGCTCCTCACTGGAATCCTAGGCAGGGGTTCCACCCCTGAGCCACGCCCCCAGCGCCTCACTGGGGGATCCTAGGCAGGGGCTCCACCCCTGAGCCACGCCTTCACCTCCTCTCTGAGAGATTCTAGGTGTGGGCTCTACCACTGAGCCACAACCCCAACCCAATCCATTTTACAAGGAGGGAAGTTGGGTGGGATGGCATAGAAGCCTTTCATTCTAATCCTTGGGATGTTGAGGCAGGAGGATCAGGTGTTCAGGGTCAACCTCAGCTACATAATGATTTTAAGGGTACCCTTGACTACATGCAACCCTTTCTCCACCTACCCCCAGAAGGCAGGGAGTGTTATGTGAGCAGCCCACCCTGGGTCTTACCCATAAGAGTGTCCGATCAGCACATTGCGCTTCTTGGCATAGCGCGTGAAGATGGCCCGCATGTCCTCTGCAAGCGCGTAAAAGGTGTAGGCAGCTGCCACCTGCGGCGCAGAGCTGGCTCCATGGCCCGCCAGGTCAGGTGCCACCACCTCATAGCCAAGTCGCACAAAGAAGTCCAGCTGCTCCTTCCAGATGGCGAGCGAGCCGCCCACACCGTGGATGAAGAACAGCACAACGTCTGCCTGCGCGCCTTTGCAGCTGGTGATGCGCTGCTCACAGTCGATGTGGATGGTCCTCTTGGGACGCCGAGGGCGCCGTCGCCGACCGCTGCCTGGGATAACTCGGGCGTCACCCCCTGCGGGATCCGCCAGCTCCACCTCAAGAGCAGAGGGCGGGTCCCCCGAGCCACTGCAGTTTTGAAGGTCGGCACGTGGCGCCCGGCCCAGGTTCTCCACCA